AGAAGATGCACAGCCTAGGCAGTGATCTTGTTTTAATTCCTGGAGGGATGACGTCTGTGTTACAACCCCTGGACGTTATTATAAATAAACCTTTTAATGGGTACGTTCAGGCGGAGTACAAAAAATGGTTTTGTGAGCCAAACCGTGAATTGACCCTGACAGGAAAGATAAGCGTGCTTCACCGCACATTGTTGCACACTGGGTTTCTGCAGCCTGGAAAAACATCGAAGCACCAATGATTATGAAATCTTTCAAGAAATGCTGCATTTCAAATTCATTGAATGGCAGTGAAGATGACGTGCTCTGGAACGCCGAGGATGACGATGATGAGGATGAGGAAAGAAGAAATGAATCTGCTTCTGACGAAGAGAGCTGCGAGGATTCCAGTGATGAAAACATTAATGATAAAAGACGTTTTTGGTTTAACTATTAATCACTGATTCTAGAAACTGTTAGCTAGATAGAAATATTACGATTTATTTCATGTTCATATTTTACGATAGGTACCGTATATAAGGTAGTGGTAATTAACAATGATTGTTTCACATAACAATAGCCCACTAATAGGTTAATTATATGTTCTGCTACTTTACGTATAAATCCATTGTTATATAAAATATGGTATCTAAATTTTAAATAAAATTATCATACCATGGATTGATAGTTTATATGCAAATCCATTGTTGTATAAAATAAGATTCAATAAATTCCTCATACCATTGATGCGCATTACATTCGCCGACAAACAGTTTTTTTATTATTTAAGTTTTAAAATGGGGATGCGCATTAGATTCGATGGCGCATTAGATTCGCATAAATACGGTAATTAAACAATGTTTGTAGAGATAATATCATACAGTTACAGTTATTCCTTTTTCTAAAGTTTATTAGAATATATTTTTCATGAAAAATTATCAGTAAAACTTAATAAAAAAGATTAATTTATTTATGAATTTTATTAGTTTACTATGTAAGCTTAAAATTTCTGTTAAGTGCCATAAATTACCTTAATGTTTTACTCATTTTGAGTTTTTAAATCTCAAGTTTCCTTCCCACTTTTTCAGCAAAAATGTATTAAATAATTCAAAATTATGAATTATAAAAATTAATATATTCCACTTTCCTTCTTGCGCTCACAAATCATTCATTATACGCATATGTATTTACAACTTGTAAAGTCTGTAAAACGCCTGTCTGCGTTGTTATCGTCATGCGATGATTTGTAAGAGCTTTATTTTTACCGCGATATTTTCAACGACGATGTTTTTAAACTGAGAAATTATTGAACCGCTTTATTTTCGATGATGATGTTTTGTACCGCGATGTTTTAAGAACTGCGATGCTTCCTCTTTGCTTTCTTTTTTTCCACGATGTTTTGTACCACGACGTTTCCGCCGCGCGTTGTTTACCCCTCGACGTTTTCGTCAGTAACCGGAACGAGAATAGTATCCCATTAAACAACGAAATGCAGCTCAGAGATAACTTCAACGCACCAGAAATCCTGTAGATAAAACTAGATTTAACCAACTGTGTAACGCAATGAAATCTCAGACTAATGTACAAGCACAACTCGACTGGTCCAAATACCTTACATAACTGTCCACGGATTCGCTGTGGAAAGCTCTCAAAAGATATAAGAAACGCTACAACAACATTCAGCCCCTTAAAGGCCCCGATAGGATCCATTACACTGAAACTGAAAAAAGCAGAACTTATTGTTCAGCATCTGGAATCTCAGTTTCGATTTCGCAACATACATGACACAACAACAGAAAATATGATTACTAGCTTTCAGAAAAATTACTCTCCCAATCCACGCACTGACAACATACCCCCAGTCATGCCGGAAGTCCTTGAATACATTCAACGACTCAAGAAGAAGAAACCCCCAGGGCACGACAAGATCTCAAACCATATGACTGAAAAATTCCCAAAACAGACTGTGTTCATCTACGTCAAAATCATTAACCTGATCCTGAAATGGCAATATTTTCCTCAAGACTGGAAGCTTGCTACAATAACCCCGATATTAAAGCCTGGAAAAGCATCAAACAAACAGATTCTTACAGGTCCATCAGCCTACTGCCATGCCTAAGCAAAATTACCGAAGCAGTCATTCTTCAAAGAGTGAACAAGCATATAGAAGATAATAATATCCTCATCCCTTTCCAGTTTGGATTCCGAAAGAATATAGGCACAACAAACAAACTGTACAGAGTTGTTGAAACGATTACTGAAGGAATAAAAAACAAGAAGAGCACATTTGGAATTTTCCTAGATATTTCCAAAGCTTTCGATCGCATATGGCTGGAAGCACTCCTTAACAAAATATACAATCTAGGTTCCCCAGATTACATCATAAACATAACTAAATCCTACGGGATCGGTAGACATTTCGTCGTTTATATTTTCGGCACTTATTCTACACAACGTCTCATATTAGCATGCGTAGCCCAGACGTCCCTCCTGGCACCCATACTTTGTCATATTTATATGAACGACATTCCTACAACACCCAACACGACACTCGCAATGTACGCAGATGACACAGCGATCCTGACGCAATGTGCAGTTGTTGGATCAGTTATACAACTGTTACAAGATCACATAAACATACTTGAGATTTGGCTGCAAATATGGAAAATCCTTGTGAATATGGACAAGACGCTTGCCATATTGTTTACCAAGGAAAGGAAAATTGATAAAAACTTGCATTTCTATGGAGCATCTATCCCTTGGGCTTAGGAGGTCCTTTATCGCTAGGGGTGATCCTCAGTAATTCTCTCACATCGACCAAACGCATAACATCTCTCTTATAGAAGTTTGGAGCTCGTAAAGAACACTATTCCCCTTAATTGCTAGAAACAGCGTTCTATCTATAGACAACAAGTTACTCATTTACAAATCAGTATTGCGTCCCATGCTTTGTTATACCTGTGCAGTATAGGCATATTCTTGCAAATCGGATAGAGAGGCTCAACGCCAAAATTTATATTACGTCAATTCACTCACCTGAATGTATACTATCTATGAACTCGAAGGACACGTAAACTATTATTGTTTTGCACACAAAAAAAAAAATTTAAATCTAAACATTTTTTTTTTTTTAGTCCAAAGGGATTTGAATCCCGAAGGACTATTAGTTTCGTTTTGGCATTTTGCGTCGGACTCATAAATGTCGGTTCACTTTTCAAACTGTTGCCATAAAATGTTAGAGTCCTGCATTATATTTGAAGAAGTTAAATAATGAAAATCTGCGTAAATGTATGTATATTTCTCGCATTGTCATAAAATAACGGTACATAGAGTCATCGAATTTTGAATAACGTAATCCTCCAACGAATATGAGCATGTGGAAGACCAAATTTGAAATTTGAAATTTGTTTTATGATCGATTTCCTATTTTTTAAAACTTTGACGAATTTTTGATTAACAAACTCAAGGATTTCAAAGCGAGCAATGGCAACGTTGTGCAGAAAAAACATTTTTATCTCCAGCGCGTGAGTCTCTGTATCGGAAATTCTAAAGATATGCTCGTTTTAAAACTATTTTGCGATATTGCTGTTGCACTGGATCTTATGGTTTAAGTGCGAGGAACATGATATTTAATAAAGAAAGGTAACACACAAAATGTTAAAAACGCCCCTTTGGAAAATTTTTTTTTTTTTTAATCCTTAAAGAAGAGGACCTACTTTTTTCGGTTTAGTCCTTCAAATTTTGAAAGTTACGTCTTCCCTTATGTCGTTTCTCACCTTAAATCTTTATATTTTTTGATTAATAATTTAATGTTAATATCTTCCTTAACTTTATTACCTTTTTATTATAATATAACGACTTACCTTAAGGTTATTTGTGACAAAATTTATTATGTAACTTGTGATTAAAATCTCTTCATATCGCTCAATTTTTTTAATTTAGAAATTTCTTTGTGTTAATGCACACATAATTAGTAATTTATATTTTTGTTCGATAGAGGTAGAGCCTTCGGCCCAGGTAACCAGGTGTATACATCATTCCCCCGTGAAAGAGAGAATGTTATCAAAACCACACGTAAGTGCAGAAACTGAGGACACTGAAGCAACGAAAAACGAATCGAGGGTCTCATACTATGAAAATTGCGAGCATCGAAACATAGAAGGGAACGGAGCAGATGGATAACTTAGAACGTCGTAGTGCAGTTGGCTTTCAGAAGTTTCACCAACAATCATGAGATTTCGCCTGAAGTTGGGGGGTTTAAGATTTTAAATAAAGTGCACTATTTTAGCATTCTTCGCCGATGTGGCGAAAATGAGACAACCGTCTAGTGACAGAAGCAGTTGGCAAAAACTCTTCGTTTCCATTTGATTGAGTAAAGGACTTTTTTTCCGCGTTGTTGAGCTGGTAAAAGACTTTTTTTTAGAAAAACTTTTAGCTGCTTTAAAAGTGGTATTCAAACTGTCTGCAGGAGTCTTTGCTTTTCTCAGTTCTGGAAAATACTAATAATCTCTTTAACTATGCTTAGCCAGTTTGAGCTATTACAATTTTCTTCGTCATTGTTTTCTGAACTACTTCAAACAAATTAGCTGTATTTTGTTGGTTTCTTGGCATGAAATTTTCAGGATTATCTATGAGTTTGGCAAAATTGTTTTCAGTGTTTGAACGTAATTTGAGAAGTTTCCTGAATATTTTAGGGAGCTTCGAAATTTGATTCTTATAATCTGGACACACACAATAGTTACTTATATGTAGATCTCCACAGAAAATACAAATGGAAGCTCTTTGCTTGTGGCCGCAAAGTTTAATGACGCCATTTTTTAGTACCACAGTAAACAGAAAACGTAAATTTCGAAATCTTTTAATTAAACAGTATTAGAACAATGCACAGTTTTTAACCATGTAAACGTGGATACGAATCATTGCTCCGTAGAAAGACAGCCTTTCAGCGTGAGTTGCGATAATCAAATAAACAAAACAAAAACAATTCATGGTAAAGTTCAAAACACTCGATAATGATAACTTACTCAGGTTAAGCTTGAAAAATTGTATGGAATAATAGCACTTCGGTTGATCTTGCAATGAATAGATTTCGCAGCTATAAATGCCTTCATCTTCAGCTTTCAATTGAAATATTTTCAGCCTTGCGTAGTGACCTTTAATAAAATACTTTGTTCTCCCACGGTATTCTTCTCCCACAGAGTTAAATTCTTTCCTAAAGTAAGGATCTGCACTCACATATATATAGGTTGGAGGCTGGCTTTGGACGTGCTTCTTCCAAATGGCAACAATGTTTTGATTACAAAAAGGAAATGCTTCGCACATCAGATCTTCTGTGTCTCCAATGTTAAAGTTGGAGTTTTCCAGTGGACCTAAACAGAATAATAAAAACCTTATTAATGAATGGGACATTAGTAACGAGAAAAGAAGAAAGGACTAAGGAACATTAATGTACAGTAAAAAAAACTCCCAAATTAACTGGGTTATGCTTTGACCACGCCGACCGCGACCATGACCACAAACACACATATACCATTCGAGCCGATTTATATGCGAAACAGGATGTATGGGCGTGAATCATGAAGTACGGATTTTTCCATTCTTATGTTTTCGCTGTTTTTTTTCACTACGCACAGATTTAAGGAAGCAGAAAATTACTTTTAAGTAATCTAAGATTATTTGTATTATTTGTATATCATCATATGTAACTGTTTGATTATATTGTAACTTTTAAACTATTTAAACTGAAATTGATATATTTTCCACGTTTAATTTTGTGCATTTATATAATGCTAAAAATATGAACTATCATATAAACGAATCTTCACGTTTATATGAGAGCTTTCATAGCTTAATTTTTACTCTATATACATAATTTTTGAATAAATTGTAATAGTTATCTATTATTGCATAGTAATTGTTATAATAATTACTTAATTATTAAATTTTATTCTATAATTTTTATCACAATTATTTCTAATAAAATAATTATTATAATTGATTACAATAATTCCTCCATAGTAAATTATTATTATAACGACATTGCACCTATTAGTATTGATATTTCTTTATTGTTAAATTCATAACAGTCCGCTAGTTGTACATTTTTAAACGTCTAAATTGTTTCTCAATATTTTTATCCGGAGTCGGTAAATGTGTACCCGAAATATGTTCTGTCTCCAGTGCATCAATTTCTATTCATAAATTTGGATCATCTCTATTCTTTAATTTAAGTTTAATTACATTAAATTATTTTGTTTCCGTTTCCCTAGCACCAAATGTACAAATGGAAAGGCTTTCCTTTCTAACAACTGGAAAGTTAAATCTTTTGGAAATAGCTGATAAAACAAAGGCTTCAGTGGTAGAACGCTCGCTTGCCACGCGGGCGGCCCGGGTTCGATTCCCGGGCGATGCACCAGATGCGCATCGGTGGTTTTAAGATTCAGTGGTAATCCAAGTTTGTCGAAAGTGCGGTGGTTCAGCAAAACATAATATCACATCTCATGTCAATAAATTAAAATCAAAAATCAATAAAATATAAATTGATTTAATTAAATATAATAATATCTCAACCCCGGAATCGCACATCATCCATCGAGTCTCAGCACACACTCAATGGCGCTGTCAGCGCCCTCTAGCGTTAGGCGGGTCTTACCAGACATTATATTTAGTAATTATTACATACCTTTCTTATTTTTGAACTAAAATATTATATATTAATATACACTGAGAAAAATTTGTTAATAATTAGTCACAAAAGTTATATTACAATAAATAATTATTATATTTCTTTTTGATTTTTGGCTAAAATCTCTACGCATCATTATACATAGTTGAAGTGGGAGAGAGGGAACCAGATTAATTTTAGATAAAAAGAACGAAAATAATTCTTGCACAAAAGCATACAATATTGCCAAATGCAACGATAAATCAACTGCGATCAGAGAAGACTACGCTCAAATAGGGTAAATACAGGTTCTTTTTTTTTTTTTTTTTTTTTTTAATTACTGAAAAAATATTAGACAGAAAAGTATTAGATAAAATTAAAATTCCATTATTTTTTTGGAATCTTTTTTTTTTTTTTTTTTTTTTTTTTTTTTTTTTTTTTTTAAATAAGCAATGAAATGTGCACTTTTTATGTAAAATTCTCATGCTACGAAAAAAAATTTTGAAAATTTTTGATTTCCAGCATTGTACGTCGATGCGAATCTTAAAGTTTATTTCGGCGAATATGAAATAAAGACGCAAAAGGCAACTGACAATAGGATCGCCGATGACACAGGAACTTTAAATAAATGACATGGGATTCCCTCATTCAATAGTCAATTTCTTCTTTCCGAAGATGAGTGAACTTTTATGTGATCTGTGGCACTTTATTAACCTCCTTTCTAGAAGATCCTAAGTGTTTTGGCAGAATGCCAGTCAAGGTTGACGCGGTCGAAATATAACACCACAGATTACAGTCTACAGTTAATTCACATTAACGATTAATCCAAGAGAAATTACTAAAGCTCAGGAAGAGAAATAAAAATTATGATTAAGAAAAATTGATAAATTATAATTACCATAAAAATTTTATAAACATTTTCTTTTCCATCTTCAAAGAATTTAATTTGCAGAATAATTTCAATTTGTTACATAAACTAAATCGTAACTTAAAATTAAAAAAACACACAGTAAATGACAAAAAAAAAAAAAAAAAAAAATGTCATTAGGGAACTAAAAACACTGTTAATAAAGGGCATCAAAGAGCAAGTTTTCTTTATTGTAATTTTCCGTACATCACTATCAGGAACAGATCACGATTTAGTAGGCTAGAAACACGATAAATACAGCTATGGCGGTAAACGAGAGAAACAACAACAACAAATCTGAAAGGTTTCAGATTTTAAATTACGTCCAAAGGGGCTTTTTTTTTTTTTTTTTTTTTTTTTTTTTTTTTTTTTTTAAACATTTTGTGTGTTACCTTTATTTATTAAATATCATGTTCCTCGCACTTAAGCCATGAAATTCGGTTCAACAACAACATCGCAAAATAATTTTAAATTGAGCATATCTTTAGAATTTCCGATACACAGTCTCGCACACTGGAGATAAAAATGTTTTTTCTGCACAACGTTGCCATGGCTCGCTTTGAAATCCTTGAGTTTGTTAATCAGAAGTCCGTTAAAGTTTTACAAAATATGAAATCGATAATAAACAAATTCTAAATTTAAAATTTGGGCTTCGAGATGCCCATATTCGCCGTAGGATTACGTCATTCAAAATTTGATGGCTCTCGGTACCGTTGTTTTATCACAATGTGAGAAACACACATTTACGCAATAAATGTATGTGTGCTTGTTTTGTGACAATGCGAGAGACATGCATACATTTATACAGATTCTTCATTATTTAATTTCTTTTGTTATAACACAGGGCGATAATATTTGGTGGCAACAATTTGAAAGGTGATACGGACATTTACGGTAAATCGACGCAAAATGACAAAGCGAAATTAATAGCCTTTCTGAGCTAACTCTCCTTTGGGCTAAAACTTCGACGAAACCAAAAGTGGTCAGGCCTCTTAGGTATTAAACAAAGGCATATTTAAAAACATGTCTAGTGAAAGTAATTACTTTAGAGTACATTTTACATTAGGTAACTGTCCGCACTAATTTCTTTAACGTATCTTATACTATAATTTATCAGAATCATAAATACAACAGATGATTCCAAACATTATTAACATTAACTACTCCGTAGCTTATCTTTTGCCCCTTTTCATACACCGTTTAACATTTCAATATATAATTCCATTTTTGATTTATAATTGTTTATTTCGTGTTGCAATCGGCAATATCTAATGCCTCTTTTAGAATATTAATAACCTAGCATGTTGTTGCGGTCACTAATCTTGCTTGTCTGAAATCAGACCGGCGCACTAGCGGCCGAGCGGTTGAACATGTCGCTAGTTTGGTCCGGGTTTCGAATTCCGGAAAACGGGCTGGCTGCTTGGATCCCTTCGTGATTTGAAATTACAATAATTTTGACTCTGTTGAATTGCCCTACATTTCGTCGTTATTTGAACTCGATGACGAGTGTTATTACGACACTTTCACTCTGATTTCAATAAGTGTTGAATACTATCTATATGTATTATTGTAACAGTAATTAATGTTTAAACTGTTTTAAATCATTTTAATTGATGTTTTAATATACTTTATGTTTAAATATTGTTGTTATTATGCAGTATTGGTAAATTTACTTGTATTATATTATTTTGCTCTTTATACTTCTTGTTGAATTGCATAATTCTGTGGTACAATTTTATCTTTACTCATTATACAGCTGATTAATATATATGTTTAATGGTGTTTATGCTACATTACTTTTTGTAAAATGTCTCGCCCTTCTGTAATACCTGTTGATAGTAATCAAACTCCTTCAATAAGTGATTTGGATCCATTTACATTGATACATTCAGACATTTCTTATCATGAAAAAATAAAGGTATTATATGAAACTATCCATACTATAGCAGTAACATATAAAGGAAGCAAATTTGTCCTTCCCTCAAATTTAAGAGAACCTCTTTGTAAATCCTTAGACGCCTTCAAACAATTAGCTGAAGAAGGCCCAGATTTTGTACCTAAGCCTCCCACAACTGATACTGGTAGCAATACCTCGACTGTTATTTGTTGTGAACTTGTCCATCATAAACAGGCTTCAGATATCTCATTTCCTGTGCAAGATACAGTAAATTTGCCAACTCCACTCGCAGGCTATTCTTACGCTGCTGCAGTGCAGCATTCCATCCTTCCAGCAGCTCCTCAACCGACGTTGCTAATATATCCAAAACATACGACAACTAGTCGTAAATTGAAGGATAAACTTGCTAAGGAGTTCCCACTTCCAAAAATTGGAGCTCAGGTAACTGCTATACGTTCAATTAAAAAGGGTGGTCTTGCTGTTGTCTGTTCAACAGAGTCAGATAAGAAGAAACTAAAAGATACCTTAACATCTGAGAGAGCTTCCTCACTAGTTACTATCAAGCAACCAACATTAAAAAATCCTTTACTAGCCATTCATAACATTCCTACAGATCTTCCTCAAGAGGATTTAGGGGAAGCATTTCTTACTGAATTTGGTTTAGACACAGAGGACATAAAACCTCTTTTTCGATTAAAAGAAAAGAAAAATGTTAAGTGGATCTTCCAATGTAAGCCCGCAGCTTTCAATACAATTATGCGATACCCCAAACTCCATATTGGATGGCAGTCTCACAAAATCACAGAACATTTTAACATCAAGAGATGTTATAAATGTCAGCGATTTGGACATTTGCAGCGGGAATGTCGCAGCAACTTCTACTGCACGTACTGTGCCGGTGAACATGACTCCCGAGACTGTTCCTCGGATTTTGCAGCCTGCATCAATTGTCTCGACGCAAACAAGAATTCCAGAAACCCAGTCCCAGTTGATCATACCGCCAACTCCAACGCATGCTTTTGCTATCAGAAACAAGTCGAACGAATGCGCCAGAATACCACATATGTCTAAAGGTGCGATTCATGTATCACAGAGTGCTTTGCAATCATTTAGATGCTTACAAATAAACATGCAGAGATCTCGGGCAGCTACAGCACAGACAATAGAATTTGCATTAAGAAATCACATTGATCTCATATTGGCCCAGGAGCCGTATACTAGAGACGGTCAAGTTGCTGGTTTTCCTCTTCTTTGGACAACTTTCTCCAAGGCAGACACTTTAGCACCTCCACGTGCAGCCATTATTAACTGTAATACACAAATCTCTCCCTCAATTTTATCAATTAATAGAGATCAAGTTGCTGTAGTTTTAGAAATTCGAAATTTAATAGTTGTTATTTATTCAATTTATTCTCCTCCTACGGATGACATTACCCCAGTTATTGCCTTTTTAGAAGAGAATCTTCGCATTATTGGTAATAAACACCAAATCATCAGTGGGGACTTTAATGCCCATTCAATAGCATGGGGTTATACAACAACTGATCCTAAAGGTCGCCTATTGGAGGATTTTATATCTTCAAAAAATTATGTGCTTTTTAACTCACCAGACTCTGCGCCTACCTTTGATAGAACATATGCTATTGGATGGCCTGACTTAACTTTTACTAAAGCAAATACTGCACATTTGGTTCATATAACTGGACTATTCATGATGAAATAAGTTTATCGGACCATAAATTCATTACGTTTGAAATAACCAACAATGGCTCAGTTCCTATTCTCATTAGATATAATCTCCCAGGTCGTAAATATCGTCAATTTACGAGAAAAATTAGAGGAAAATTGAACCAACTGAGAAGACAACTATCTTTGCAAACAACTCCAGCTGCCTTGGAACAATTTACGGACTTGGTTTTAACTACAATCCAAGATATTTGTCAAGATCTTCTTCCAAGGAAAACAAATAAAAAACTTTCAGCTCTCCATTGGTGGAACGGTGAATTAAGAACTCAACAACAGAAATGTCGAGCGCTTAGAAGAAAATTAAAATCTGACCGTCGAAATGGTATCACCTCAAATACTTTGCAACATTATCAAACAGAAAAAGCAATTTATAAACGCATGATTATTCAATCTAAATTAACAGCATGGAAGCAATATTGCACTCAAAATCATGATCCATATGGACTTCCTTACAAAATTGCAAGGACAAAAATTTTTCAACCTTCGCAAACTCATCTAATAGCATCTTCTACTTCGACTGAGCACCCAACACAAGACACAATAGAATCAATTTTAACCACCGTGTTTCCATCTGATGATCCTTCCACAGATTCTCAGTTCCAGACAGAAATTAGAAATAACTTAACAGTTCCTGATACTGCAGACGATCAAGATATAACTTTAGACGAAATTAAAACTACAATACGAAATCTTCCTAAAAAAACGGGCGCCAGGGCCAGATGGAATTGATTATGTTATCATCCGAGCAACTATTAATTCTCATCCTTATTTCTTCAAGGACTTCTTCAACAAACTTTTCCATTTAGGACTTTTTCCTAGGGCTTTTAAAATTGGCAGAGTGGTCTTATTCCTAAAACAGGGTCGAGACCCACATAATCCTGCATCATACAGACCCATATGCTTACTCTCTGCATTGGGTAAGGTATATGAGAGAATAATTGTTTTACGCTTAAAAACATCATTTGCATGTGCAAAACTTTTTGTCTGATAATCAGTTTGGTTTTCGACCTGGTAGATCCACTGTTCAGGTATTGTCAAAGATTGTTAATGATTTGCAATCTAATAGAATCAGTGGTCACCACAGCGCTTTCATTAGTATTGATCTTCAAAATGCTTTTGATACGCTGTGGTGGCCAGCAATTCTGGAATCATTAAGAAAAGCTCATTGCCCTAAGAATATATTCTTGGTATTTAGAAGTTATCTATCTGAACGAAAATTAATGTATTTAACTAACCGGGAAGTAATAACCAAGATACAAAATCGTGGCTGTCCCCAGGGTTCCTGTGCTGGCCCTGATTTGTGGAATGTAACATTTAATTATGTTCTATCCTCCACTTGGCCAGCACATACCCGTTTATATGCTTATGCTGATGACACAGCTTTTGTTGTCACAGGGCGAACAAGAGATGAACTGCAAATTAACTCCACAGAAACTTGTAATCTTTTTTATGAGTTATGTAATAATATCAAACTTACAATTTCCTCTTCAAAGTCAACCATTCTCCTTGTCCCAAAGAAAGGAAAATCTTTAAATCGACGACCGAGAATTACAATAAATGGTACCAGAATTGGTATTAAAAGGCAGCTCAAATTTCTCGGTATAGTATTTGATGAGAAATTAAATTGGATTTTGCATCTGCAGGAATTGAAAAGAAGAACAACTATCATTGCAACTAATCTTCGCCGTATGTATGGACACAATTGGGGTATTAGTCCGTACATACAAAAAATATTATATCAAACTGTAATCGAGAAGATGGTTATATATGCAGCTGCAGTCTGGGCCGACCCTATGCAGGGTCGTAAGGCCAGACTATTGCAAAGCTTACAACGACCCTTTGTATTACAGATTACCCGCGCTTTTTGTACAACTTCTTCTAATGCCTTGACTGTGCTTGCAGGCATTATTCCATTGCCTCTACGCACTCTACAGGAGGCAGCTTATCAAACAGTTCGCCAATTGCAGCAATCTGTAAATTTTCATGATGACATATTTCTTCCAACCAACTATGAAAAGCAAACACAGCATTTGGATAATCATCCTGCTCAACAAGGATATGGACTCAATGTCTTTTTGAAATGTGACAATTTGCCACAACTACCTCACTTACAGATATTCACTGATGGTTCGAAAATTGAGCAACAAACTGGTTGTGCCCTTGTGGCTTATCACAATGAAGACCAAATATTTAAATGGTTAGGACATCTTACTGCTGAAAACAGCGTTTTTCAAGCAGAAGCGATGGCTATTCTTAAAGCTGTTCAATATCTTAAACAAACCGGCGAGATGGAAGGTATAATAATAACGGATAGCCTTTCATCTCTTTTTGCAATTAAAAATCCAAGGCATTCTTCGCCTATTATCTCTGCCATTCAGCAGGAATTGCTCATGTCCGGAAATTCTAAAATACTGATGGCCTGGACAAAAGGTCATGCAGATAACATTGGCAATATCCAAGCAGACTTCTTTGCAAAAATAGCTGCCCAAAAAAGTATTGATCATATTGGTGAAATTGAAAACCTAATGGTAAAACGGCCAATTTCGTATTTTAAAAAGGAAATTTTACTCAAGACTATTTCTGCGTGGCAAACAAACTGGGATGACTCCGACACAGGTCGTCGTACTTATTTTCATATTTCATATGTTGATATACATAGACAGGTTACCAATCATCATTTGGTACGTTATATTACAGGGCATGGACCCTATCCAGTTTACTATTATCGACATGGGATTTCAAATACTGATATGTGTGTATGTGGTGAACTTGGAAATCCTGAACATTATGTGACTCAGTGTCCTATTACACAAGATTATCACATTCCCATACCAAATACTAACACTCGTGCATTTTGTAAGTTTTTAATTAAACAAAAATACTTAGTTAAAAAACTGATCAAAATTATGGAAATACTTCATTCCTATGGTACTGACTTGTGCTTGGTAACATAATTTACAATTTTATTATATTGTACGCATACATGTTAGTGTTAATCTACTATTCCCATATGTCAACTTATCACATGCTTGGATTGGGATTTGTCTCATTGAATCTTCGTTGAATTTTGTTCAATAAGAATGTTTACATATATATATATATTATT